ATTAGATTAGATTAGATTTGATTAGATTGAAATGCATTTGCCTGCGATAAATGTGCATCTCTATTTGCGTCATCAAACATTTCATCTTGTCAAAATAATGCACTTTTAATTCGCCCTTTTCCCTGATTTTATTTTCTAATAGCATTTTTGGTTGGAACGTCTTTCTTCAATAAAAGATTTGACAGTGAACATGGCTACCCATCAAACCAATCGACAGACTTGATTTTTCGATTTTTTTAAATTTAAAACACATCACGCACAATTTATTAAAATGCACTTTCTTGACGATTTTCAAGAATATTTGGGTTTGTTTTGAGTTTTTAATGACGCCTTTTATGCAATAGGCTCCACCTTCCACGTCGACAAGATAGACATAGGAACGAATGTAGAGGCCTCCGAGGACCAGATGAAGGAGTGGGAGGAGAAAAATCAAGTAAAAGTACCGGAAGACTTGAAAAATTTTTATCTCACTTCAAACGGATTGAAGGTTACGTGGAGCGGAAAATATGGAGGTTAGTTGTATGGAGACGGTGAAAGTGTTATAAGAAATTATGATATTTCGTTAATTATCACTACTATGACATTTTCAAGCGCTGGTATTTGTAAAAACCAGCTTTACGTGTCTTAGAATGACTGAAGTGTGACATGCATTCATGTCAATTACATTGGTAACCCTTTGGGGTCACGGTTAATCTTAAACAAGGTCAAATGGTTTAATAAAGACTTCAAGAAGAAACCCAAAAAGGATATAAAAGTCAAATGTAAATTGAAAAGACTTTTTTGAAGGTAATGGATGGTTGGATGGAGGGTTGCGGAATGGGCGGACTTGAGGTGGATCTTGACGAGACGGGTGAATGGGTGGGCAATTGATAGACGGCTGCAGGAAGGATGTGCACAAGACATCCACCAATCTATCTCATAATTCCCCTCCTTTTCCTTCCTCATTCCTCAGTTTTTTAAAAGGTCACTTTCTTTCTTCTAGTTCATTCATTTGCATCGGAGTAGCCAAGGGCACACGTTTTAGCCCCCAACGACTTCCCAGGGCATTCACACTAAGTAGCTCCACTAATTTCGACTTGGTAACTACTTTTGATTTTCTTTTTTTTAAAATTCTTAGTTTTGAAGGTGTTTGGAGGAGTGAACATTTGTGATTTGGACTCCTTGGTCAAATTTCAACCCCGTTGTGAACCCGCTGCCGTGGACAATCCCTTAACCTGCTTCGTCAACGATTTTAAGCATTTGGACAAATCCAACGACTTCTTCATTCTAAGTCGATGTACCAATCACGCCTACGTCTTGCTTTCACCTTCGTTAGGGATTTATCTTTTGAATAGATCCATGGAATTGGGATACCTTTGTGAGGGATTTATGGAGTACATTCGTCTAGCCATGCTGCATTACATGCTTGATGGATGGGAGTGCTTCCTTCTCGGCAAGGTGGACGCCATTCCCTATGAACATGTAGGTATCATTCATTTACGTCCCCTTTTTATAAACCCATCTGTAGATGCTTTGTTTGAAAGGATTGCCACATTTGTTTAAACTCTATGACAGTGAGAAATACCAAGTTTTGGACGAAGATGGGAGTTGAAAACTGCTGAAATGGTGTATTACCCTGTTTTACGGTTTGTTTGTGTTCCCTCTTGTGTGACAGCCCATGATACCCTCTTTCCCCTTGTCAATTGTTTAGCTTCTTTGGCCAAGAGAGAGTGGAGAGAGTATAGGTGCTGAGGATAAACAATTTCAGTGATCAGTCCTCCTTTGCTCACCCTCGAGTTTCACCGTATCGTCATTTAACGTCTAAGCAGCACATTTTGGGATGAAGTGGAGTGCGCAGGTCCGTAAGCCATGTAAAGGGAACGGAAAACAAAATGGTGGTACTTGAAGCTCTACCACTGGAGAATTCTCTTCTGCGCCGGCATATTAAGTCATGAGGCATTTTATCCTTCCCACTTTCCTCCTCCAGGTGGCCTCCAAACTCACACAAGTCCTGAAGCACGTCAATCAAGCTTGATCTTAAGCGACATACCACATTTTGCAATTTCAAAAGGGAGTAGAAAATAATGGTCGGATTTCGATCTTAATTAATTGACACTCTCCTTTTCCTTCTCTTCTTATCGCATAAAATGCTACCTTCTTGACTAGCAAGACAATTCCCCATTCACAGCTCTTCCATCCCCTCCAAAGCCTAGACAATGAGAGTACTTAAGTGAGGGCGGAGTGGATCATAAAATTGGTAGAGCCTAGTGACTTCTGTGGCCCCAAACAGCCAACCAACAAGCTGACATTGAGCTCTCGTTATGTGCTTTCTCTCGAAATTCCTCTTGTAAGAAGCTCGAAATCGTGCAAATTTACGCGCATTATGCATTAGTCGGAAAAACAACAAAAAACGATTAGAAATTTTCTAGTATTGGTAAAACAACTTATGAGTGACAGGGTTGAAGATTGACTATCTTCTCTGTGCTAGCTTTATCGCTAAAATCGAAAAAATCATGTTACGACTCGATGCGACCTACAAGGTTTACCTTTGTACAGCTGACCAGAAAAGTCAGCAGATGAGAAGGACATGTTGGTGAGGAGGACAATTTAACAAATGCAAAGGTGAGCCACCTTAGATCGGCTAATTCCTTAAGACGTCACCCAACTTTTAGTTGGAATGAACAAAATAAAATCATAAACAGCTAGTTCGCTGACCAATTAAATCATAAACCTCATATTCAGCCAATGGTGTCTTCAAGTTCCACATAGTTTCGCACTGACAACCAATAAACTTGCAAATGTTGCTTCAATTGCCTCACCGGGGTGCTCAAAATGAACCACTAAAATCGGGTTTCTAACTTTGACCAATGGTAGCCTTAAGCCAAATTCACCAATAAAATCGGAATTCTAGTACCTGATTATGGACAAATTGCTAAATTGGCCATTTGCAAGGCTTGTAAAGGTATAGAAGTTAGACTTAAGGGAAAAAAAATGAGCAAATGAGACTCATGTGATTTTGACATTGGCAAAGCCTCAATTTTTGGTTTGGCTTGATAATGAGTAGATGGAACCAAAAATAGACTTCTCACTTTTACCAACATGGCTTTGAGAGCAAACTGTCCGCATTGGAGATTTAATTCTGACTTATAACTTCGAGTCCTTCTGTCTTAAATTGGCAAACTAATTATGCGCATTATATTTAACTACTAATTTTTCGTATTTATCATTATTAATTTTATTTAAGTAATTCTCCTTCAGCACCTAATGGACCAATGGCAGCTTCACATTTGTCAACCTGATGAATACATTGGACCAATGAACTGTTGCTTTACATTTTTTTCTCGACAATGATGTAAGACCTGTTTTCCCTTCCTTCCTTCCTTTTTTTTGAGGTGATCCAGTGCGCTGACAGCACTGACTTTAATCTGTATTGTAGTAGATGCAAATTCCCAAAAATAAGAAAATTGCTACTTATTTTGAGTTCTTCATTTAAGTAATATAAATCGCAAAGCATTTTTAGGCCTTCTTTTTTCACAACACTTATATCGAACGTTGAAATTTCCATAATCGTCTTAGCGGAGGCAGATAGTATCCTCTCAACTCCTCCACGTAGTCTCAACTCTTGCCATCAATTTCAAATATATGCATTCCTTGGTACGATGCTCGCTCCCATTCTTCTTCCTCCTCCCTCGCCAATACCATTGAGTCACAAGACAAAACTAAAAAAGAAAGCATCCACCTTTCTGCATGATCACGCACAGCCATGCATCTGACCACTACGAGTGGGGAATTGCACCCATGACTATGATTGGTCCCCAGCTACATCCGTGTTGGAAAAACCCACACTCTTACATACAGAAAGCCATATTATTGCCACAGGGGTGGAAGGAAAGGTATATACACACACACACATACATACACATACACACACATACATACATACATACACATCCCATTCCAGTGGATGTCACGAAAAGTTATTATTGTCGGTGATGGTATGGTCGGTAAATCCGCCCTCCTTCAGGCCTTTGTTCATGGTGTTTTCCACGAAACTTACATTCCCACAGTCTTTGAAACCACCGCTATGGATGTTGAAGTGGCTGGAGGCAGAAATGTCACTTTGGGACTTTGGGATACCGGTGGACAGGAGGAATTTGATCAAATCCGTCAACTTGCCTATCCTGGAGCTCGGGTAATTCTTCTTTGCTACGCAGTGGACTCATCGACAAGCCTGTCAAACATAGTGCACACATGGAGTCCCGAAGTGCGTCAATTTTGTCCCCGAGTTCCAGTACTCCTTGTCGGTTGCAAATCCGATCTACGTGGTCTTGAGCGGTATCGAGGGCGACTGGTGAATCCAAGAGAGGCTACTGATGTTCAAAAACGAATTGAAGCGAGAATTCACATTGAGTGTTCTGCCAAGACCCTGTCCAATGTCCACACAGTTTTCCAACTAGCTGCTGAGTGTACTCTAGACGGCAAAGAAGTTGTGGCGTCCCAGTCACTGCGACGTGGTGCACAGTCCTGTGAAATTGTTTAATCCTATTTTTTACTAACACCATTTCACCTTATTGTAACAACTTTTCGTTAATTCAGTCCTAAAACAGGTTTTATCATGAGTTACTATTCCACAGATGTTTTGCAGTAAGTGTTACACTACACACACTCGTCCAAATGAAAAAAATATACATTATTTAACGTTGTCAAGGTCACATGTGTGTTTGACAAGTGGGTGTGGGTGCAATGCTTTCGTTCTTTTTTTTTTTTGCGGAATTCCTGACAAATTACACATCTGCATTTCGTTGAGGTCATGACAAGTTTGAACTAGACACAGCGTAAAGCGCTCTGAGATGGGTTTGACCCTGTGTCACTCTAAAATGCTTCTTTTTTAGCGTCATAGCGCCGGTTCTAATGATCTCGGTCACAAATTTGACCTCTTGGAGGTATGACATGTGAACCGGTGGCTCCCACTTGTGGGGCTCAAGACTGGAGGAGGTCCTGCAACCAGAGGATGGTTTGCTGTAGCATTCGAGTGAGGTCTTGTGTCGCGTTGAATCGCACTCTCCACCAATAAGCCAGTCATGCCAACCTGGAATTCGAGGATGCGATCAACGTGGAAACACCTTATCCAGCTGACAGGCGGAGGGCGATTTGTTCTGTCACCGAGGCGTGTAAATCCTGTCTGAAGACCGCTAAGTAACAAAGATGGTGCAAGCAGAGGATTTGGGAAAGACAGTGCTGGTCCAACCAAATACAACATCCATTTTTCCCGAATCTAGGTGCGTAGTGGAGACAAATTTAACATACCGATCTAACTTTTAAGTAAAAGAAGATCAAAATTGAAAAATATTGGGGATAACAAACAGTACGATTGACTTCTTTAGGGGGAATCAAAGGGAATTCTTGTGGCACAAAGTGACGTAAGCTTACTTCGAAGGAAAAGTGGGAAATTTAAACAAGTAGATAGTTATTAGAAGCAGCTCAGCAAATTACAAAGCCACTGATTGTTTCATTTATTAAGTGTTTCGCAGCTACTCATAATTGCACCTGCCCTCTCATCCAAAAAACCGTCAATCTTGCGCCCAGCCGCAGCCATACACCCAATTAACAAATCATCTATCTCTTGTCACTTATCCGTTCATCCTTATATTCCTCCATCCATTTTGCACTCATTTGTTTGTCCTTCACTCAGCCATCCAACAATCTGCCCAACTCCTCATCTTTACGCCCACTTATGCAACCATTCACCACCCATCGATCCTATCTCTCTCGTGCCCGTCCATCCTGCCATCCTCACATCAACCTTTTTATCCTGTGATTGGTGCAAATCAAACCCGCTCCCTATTGGCTGATCAACTACATTTGAGTCATCTTGGACTTTCACCAATAGGCTAACAGCAAGTTTGGCTTGTTGCAACAATCCTCGTTCTAAAAAGCTGACAAAATATATCACCTATTTATAGTAGTTTTGTGAGATCTTTGAAATTACTCTCTACTATTTAAGGTAGGGTCAATTCTGAATGTGGAAAGGTAAATGTAGCGTTTCGCCAGTCCTCTTTTCAATCAACAAAGAATAATAAAACAGTAGGAAAAGGATGCAAATTACAAGCTACCAATGGCAAAGTAAGGTTAGTTACGTCATCGCAAAGGCCAATTAAATTTAAACGCTTAGCCGCTATCACCTTCACCCCGTTTTACCGCTTTTTATTACACTATGAAACTAATGCTGCCAAATGGAATTAATATTACATTTTTAAAAGCCAGCAAAAAATAGGTGATCAATGATTCGATAGTAAAATTACTTTGACTTCTGCTGCAAGTGATGGCTGGCAGATAACAGCATACTCGAAGGGTTACGCAGCAGAAAAATTAAGGCGGCACAATTTGTGACAATGTGAAAGAGTTCCATTCAGCTTCGCATACCTAACTGCCTTATTTCCCATGACAGGTTTGTTTACCTTATTCAAGGCAATAGTAAAGCAGTAGCCACAAAGTATTACATGCCAATTGGGCATTCTGAATGAAGAGACGAAGTGGTGCGATACGTGTTCAGAATTCCAGGCAAAAGTTGCAATCACTAGTACAGCTGACGATGATAAAGGAGCTATTTCCTAGCCCATGTCCATAAACCACAGTCACATTACCCTTTGGCTGGTAAATCCCTTCCATTGACTTTGCTTTTGTGATGGATCATAAAAAAGTGTAAAAAGGGCAGCTGGAGAACAAATGTTTGCCTTTCAAAACCGATTCACCTGGACGCGACTTGAACGTGATACACGTGCTCAAAACAAAGGTACCTTGTATCCAAACCTTTTGAGTAAATTTTGGGAGAATTAAGCATGAGCTCGAGAAGTTTCTGTGAAAAGCTTTGAAGCTACGCTGTTTTGACAAAGGGTCCGCATATAGGCTAAGTAGGTCTAAATACCAGGACTTGGTTCGGTCGAAGCTAAGTCAAGGGGAGCAATGCCAACATAACATTCAATGCTCCACATTCTTTGCATATAGTGTGTTTAAAGTTTGAACAGCAGTTTTTACAAGATAAAAGGAGCTAATTCGACCGCTCCCTTTACCAACTAATAAACTCTAATTTCCTGACGGTGTTGAAATTATTCGATTTTAAGGCTCATCCAACAAATTCGTTTGATTGACTGCCGACATGGCTTACGCTGTCGTTGGATGTGCTGCTAGCACAGCCATGCAAGAACTAACTATTCCTTTTATTTTGGCCGATAAAGCATGTTTCCACGGGGAGCCACGTCTCCCTCCGTGTATAAAGTGCTAAGGCATTATACCTTATTTATTTTTTAACGCTTATACGTTCACAGAGTAGACTAGGGCTCGGGACACACTAGGTTCGCACAACTTCCATCTTTACGAGATACGCATGCATCCTCTTCCCTGTTTATACCGCCTAATTTTAAGTTAGCAATAATTATATAAGCCAAACAGTTATAGATTTAATGGAAAATATATGTAATCCTTTGTTTATGTGAATGACTGACGTTAGGCAGTCACTTTACTAATTGTCTGGCTTTGTACTCATGGGAAGGCCCATTTGTTCTGTTCTCTTTGGAAACACGTGTATTCAGTTTCACCTACTGCCTTCTTCCAATCTATGGGGGCTCCCGGGACCCTACAATTTAATTTTATCAAATTCTCCGAACTTTATCGTTGCGAGAGCGCAGTACTCTGCCAACCACGGCAGGTTTGAGTGCAGACCATCAGCCTTCTTTTATTTAGTCTGCTGCAAAATGAAAAAGTTCGAATAACATAACAGTTTCACATTCTCACTGCAAAGGAATCCTAAATTCGACTACCTCAAATGATTAAAACTTTGATGGCACATGTCATATAAAATTTGGAATTGTTAAAAGTAAAGTGAATTTAAGAAGTTACAATGTAGTTGCTTTCTTAAATTGTTTTTCTACATTTCTACAAAGCGTCAAATTTGAAAATACTACTTGCGAGGTTGACCTGCCGCTTCATATGCTAGCTCCTATCCTGGCAGTGCTGTCGGGTCTCCTGGCCTCTTCAACGTCGGCTTGGTCAAAATTCTTTCAGCAACCAAGTTCCGATTTTTTCGGCCTCAAGTCCCATTTTTCCGACAATATTCAGTTTTTAATTCAGTTTGGACTCTACTTACTTGGGAATGCAATTATGTGGACAACATTCGTGATAGCACTCAAGAAGAGTTCAAACCTTGCTACTGTTGTAATTTTGAACAACATTTCAAACTTATTTGCCACTGTAAGTCACAGTCACTTTGTCTTACCTTGTTCGCTGAAGGCTTTCTACGGATGCTGTCTATTTAATGAAAAAATCACCTTCACTTGGTGCATTGGTTCCCTACTCATGGCCGCCGGATGTACACTTCTTTATCGCCCAAGTGAAAAAACAAAAGAGAGCTAATAACTGTGATCCAAATTTGTACGACCTTTACAAGATGCACTTTGTCAATTACCTGCACCTATATCCTATCGTAATGCTATTCATTTGCATGGTTATACATTGTGGGTCATCAAATACGGCGTGGACGTCGCGATTGAATTTACCTTAACTGGCACTAGAAACGGGCAGCCGTGTGGACCCAACATACGTGCAGGCGAGAGAAGCTACCAAAGGGGGCGGAGCGGCCTAGGATAAAGTGAACCAAAACCAAACAGGGCAAACCTGTTGCAACTGGTTGTGAACCCCCACCATTGGAGTTGGGAACTTCCCTCAGTCCTATTGGGCTACCAAAAGATGTAACTCCCGCACACACCGTCTGCTGAATACCTCAAGATTACAATGATTCATGTTTGTGCCTCCTGTGTCCATTCACACGTTGCATTCGCAAATATTTCTGGTTAGTCCGCTCCGGACTTCTCCATTTTACCGTTCCCGCAAGAAGGTTGACACGATTCATAAGAAGCATTGTATTAAGAAAAACTAAGGAGTATTGATGGGGGCATTACTCTTTAGGTTCCTGATATTCAAAGGCCGAGAAGCGCTTAGCCACGCTGTGGGGGGCATCCGATAGAGGTCGTTTAGCCTTTTCACGGCTCGACGTATCAGGGACTGTGTGTTTCAGTTTGGCCAAAGGTCTGTTCATCGTCTACAGTAAAGGGAGACAAGCTGGCTAAGTTAGTGATAAACGTTTCAACTAGTCAGATTTGAAAAAAAATGCTTTGGGAAGGGTGTTTTTTTATTCGCGTCGTCCACATTTGACGTAAGGAGGGAGAGCAACACCAGGCTTGAGTAACTTACTTCAAGGAAGTCGCCTCCCTTGAGGCGGCTGAATTACGATTGTACGAGAACATTGTGGAAGAGGGGAAGGAGTTTGAAAAGCATTTAGGGTCATTCCATCTTGGATTTCCCTCCTCCTCCAAGTGGAATCCAGAATGGAATTTCAGGCATAAAGAGCTCCCGAAATACACTCTCAAATCTCACAATCAAATGACCTACAATCCTCCTCATTTATGGTTCAATTACATTGCTATGATCGGAAAGAGCAACTGAACAAAGTGCCGGAGAGGGAATCCCACAACCTAATGCGCCTTCCATCCACAACTTCAACTGGATGATTTAGAAACTGGTCGATTGAACAAGAATGAATATAAAAATTTCAAGACAAGAGAGGGAGCCAGCGTGATTGGATTTGTGATGGATAGGTTGGCAGAAAATGTGTCCACATAAAAATAAGTCTCTGAGAACGACGGATGGACGTACTCCGAAGGAATTGAGCCAACTTTCCCTAGATCACACAAGAGCGACGGAAAGTGAGATTCATGAGTAGTTCAAGAAGCAGGAAATGATGCGTAAATGTGAATGCAAGCCCTGAGACAGGGGGAGAAACACTGCTGGAGAGAATAAGTCAGTGTCACATGGATGAGCCAATGCATTCTGGAGAAGTAATGGGAGAGGAAGATCAGTGAAACCTACAGTGTGCCAGGATTAAAGGCTTTGAGTGTCAATTGCGGCTGCTGGATAGGATCGACGGTTGGAGGCGAATCTAGGCGACACATACACGTAGGAGTGGCTAAGCGAAAGAAGTACGTTTTTAAGAGGGACTAGAATTGGCGCGATGGACAGGGATGCGCATGACAGGTTGGTGAAGCGAATGTGTTCAAGACGCGTGAACCGAGGGAATGTGAGTGAATACGCAATGGACGACGAGGACAGTGACCTGACGGAATGAATTCCAAAGAGTCCAATACATTGTAGAATGAACGGATGGCGATTGAGAGGGCTTTTAAAGAAGGCATATCAAACCAAAACATACCTTCTCGGCTAACGCCCTCCTTCCCTCCCTCTGTACATTCAATCTCGAGGCTTTAATGGGCCTTGCTGGTGGCGGTTTCAATGTGTCCAGGACGTAACTTCCTCGTCCTTTAAACTGTTGCTCCGATTCATCACCGCTCTTTCGCTGTAGTAGTAATAAAATGATGCAGTGTCATTCAACACTCAGTGGGTAAATGGGCAAGTTGCTTACTCTGAATGGGTTGAAACGACTGCCTTGAGTTGAAGGAGACTCTGTAGATGCCTGCGAGGTGTCCATTGGGGTGGAAGCGAAAGCCGATAATGTAAGCGCACTGGGTTCTTCCTCTTCTTCTGCCAACTTTGGCTTCTCGCTATCGTCACTCCTAAGAGGAGTAACAGAGGAACACTAGTAGTGGGCTAATAAAACCCACAAGAACATGGAGAAAGCCAAACCTACCCAAGAACTTCGATGACCTCCTTCTCCTCCTCTTCTTCCTCTTCTTCCTGATTTGCACCTCCTCTGTTCTCCTTGGAATCCACCTCCGAACCACCTTGACCTTCAATCACCTCTTCCTCCTCCATTTCCAATGCGATTCGCCCGATCCGGTTGGCCAAAGCCGAACGGTTAAGCCGCAAAGCGTACCGAATTCCTAAGCGAACAGTTTCAACGTCTGGCATTAACCTAGCCACCGTCACCGCCGCCCAATCATTATCCACCTTCGACGCCAACTACAAGATGGTGAAAGGTATTCACATTTCTGATGATTATTGCACTCAACTCAGATCCACCCGATGCAACAGCATGAACACCACCTTGATCACGAGTATTGCCAATTTCTTAGCCTATAATTTTGGTGAATTGGACATCCACTTCGGTGGCAGTGATTTGAAAACTCCTGCAGTGTTTTAGATGACCCTGACCTTACTGAGACATGTAGAATTGCCGATGAGGAGAGCTCAAGGGGAGCGCAAATTAATGGATGTTTTGAACGGCCTGAACACTCAACCCATGACCAGAGATCTCAACACAACTTGGGTTCTTCCCTCCCAAATACTGTTCAGGACGACATTTTAGACATTACGAAACCCTCTCAGTACATCACTGACCCTGCTGCACGCTGAAACCCATTCATCCCGTTGCCACATTGGAAATGGCAGGCGAATCAAATGAATTATCCACAAATTGATGGACTGAACAAGAATGTGACCGAGCCATGATTAAAGGAATGTGAGGCTGAACGTATTAGAGCTCAATTTAGATGCAAGCCTCCCATTCGATCAGTGGAAAGGGCAGAGAGGGGGAACTCGTGGTGCCACTGTAAGATATCGCTGGACGTCAAACGGAACCGAATAACTTACGGCAAAAAGACGAAGCAGTGTCTTTCTTCTACTGTTCAGTCGATCGGCATCAAGCGATGTCTCTGAGTCGTCACAGGTGCCCCAAAAGGGTTTTTGATCCAGAACTAGGGTTCGAAGGAAATTCTCCTCCAATTTTCCCTGATCTGCCTCAAAGACATTGCACAGCGGAAGCCTAAAGGGTAAACTGGTCACAATCGGCCGTGGAACTGGTCTTGGCCACCGCGAGGCTTTACAGTATATGGCTTGCACCTGTCCAAAGCCTAACTCATCCTGCCTGATTCGCTGCGTCCGATCGGATTCGGTAGCAGTATCAGCATCATCAGTCCTTTCTAAGTCCCTTCTCTTGTTGGCCAAGGGTTGGTGAATATCTTCAACCACACCAATAACAAAGAAGCAATCGTTCAGCCGATGCTGTGGCTTCACGCAACGCCGAGTGTCACATACTGGCACCCAGTGGAAATCCATGAAATGCGGGGCTCCTGGTGTGCTCTGATGTGTTAATCGACGCAAACACCCAGCCGAGTCGTGAGTAAATAGATTTCCAAGTTCGGAGAAGCCTAACCAAGTTAAGTGAGCAGAAGGAGAAAGTGGAAGAGGGTAGAAGGTAGAACTAAGGCGTCCAAAAGCCCATCCTCGTGGAGCTCCAGACGATAGGGAGAAATTGAACACTCTCCAGTGAAGATCCTCATTGCTCCAGCCCACAACAACAGCAAGAATGGGCAAAAATGGATGACTGGCCATGGTTACTACACCCCTACCGGGTAGACTAATTGGTGGTAGACCAAGAGACGTGACCTGGAGTAGTTGAAGCGATCCTCCAGCTGCTGCAGCCGAAGCTGCAGGTTGGAGGAAGATTCGCAGAAGCATAGAGGATGTAGCAACCACCGCTAAGCCTTCGCCGTTTCCAATGATCAGGGAAATTGCACGGCAGGCCTCGCCTGGAGGTAGGTTTACAGTCCAGTCCGAGAGGGTATTTGAGGTGGATTCTCTTCCAATATTCGTATTGGATAGTGGACGGAGGAGGATGGTACTTAGGTAAGAGTCGTCCACGTCCTTTCCGCTATCGTAAGCGTCCGTCAAGTAGACGTCAGAGCTACCCTTTAACAAGACAGTTAAAAGAATGAAATTTGTGGCTGACTTACAGGCGAGGCAAGCATAAGGGCAGTAGTGTTAAGGTCAGCCATTGTGAAGCCCTGGCTTTCCAGATGAAGTCCATGGTGCAGACTGGTATCGTGGAAATCCACTTCAATTGACGCACACTTGGAATCGTCCGAGTCTTCAGCTTCGAAGAGTGTTACCACTCCAATGTGGTTCCATACAAGGAATCGCTCACGAAAGCCTAGTAAGTAACACACAAGCGGGCGCGGTTACAAGCCTACCTGAGGGCATGGATCCCGGTTGGAAGGACTTTATCTCCAATGAAGTTGCTGATGATAAAGTGACCGCCTTCGTCGCCATCTGCAGTTCGGAATTATGTCCTTTTGAAGGAGCTGCCAATGATTCATTCGTATCATCATCCTCTACATTCAGCTCCTTTAAATACGCTGCCTTGATTTTTGAAATAGCAACTGTGTTTGAGTCATCATCCTCCTCATCTTCTGAGTGAACAGCAAGGGAATGTGACTTCGATTCTTTTTTCTTCTTCCCATACATTTCGGTCATCTCTACTTCAGCTTCTACCTCCGCCGCAGCCGCTTCCTCCGCCTGATCGGACGCCATGGCCACCAAATCGGTAAACTCCATAGAGTCTGCATCGCCGAAAAGAGCTCTAATGCCATTGGGAGAGAGACCTTCATTGGCGTCAGGCGCTGAGCGTTCAACGGACTGAAATTGTTGCAGTTAAAAGCGTTTCGAGAAACTTGTATAGCCCACAAAGGTGACAGAGAGCATTGGACTATAAGCCGCGCCATCCAGTCCCTTGTGTAAGGACGAATTGACATGGCAGGAACAAAATGACCTGACAACTTAGCTAGATGTCATACCTAGAGATCCAAAAGGAAAGACACTAGCCTTAGCGTGCTAGGCATGCAGAAATCTAATGGAAGGGAACCTAATAAAATTCCGTTAAGCTGTGAAGTATATTACAGTATCACATTCAGCAATGAGCAGAATAAGAATGAAATGCCTTCATAGTTATTCTCATTGCTTTACTATGGCATTGTGTCAAATCGTATGGTTGAGAGTGCAAGCTCTTCGTAGATCAACGTTTTACTACCAGCACCTTAGACACCCCAAATCCCCTCTTTTCATAGTCAATGTACCAACTAAAAAATGATAGGCTTGAGGTTCAAACTACCCCTAAGTATTACCCCTATTGATTAAAAGGAGCATCCAGAGCCGAAAAACAGATTAAGGGGATTAATACGTACCGATTCAGAAGGTATATCAATTGATACGAAACCAATAGCTCCAAATTTGTCAGTGCAGTAGATTGTATTTTTTTGGGGCCAAATCATGCTGCACACATTTTCAAAAGCAGAGCTATGTGTCCTGAAGAAAGTCGTATTTGATTCATAGGAGAAGCGAGACTTACGAGTACAACAACGCTTCGTGTTTTGGATTCCAAACCACGAGCCATCCATCGATACTCATAGCAGCTAGCATTTTGTCATCAGGAGAAAATTCGCATTCGATAAACGCCTTAACTACCTTGGGGTGTCGAAGAACACGAACTAAGCTCCAATTCGCATGTCGGTCGTAAATATGAATGCCAACTTCAACAGGAACAGCCAAGAACTAGTAAAAAAAAATCAGAAAAACCTTGTCCTCACTTCACCAGTCGAGGGTTCCCATTTCAACTTGCATCTTGATGTTGTGAATATGGGATCAATGAACTTGGGGAGAACGGAAAAACGCTTGACTTCTGAAGTATCGCTCAATTGCCAGATTCGAACGGTTCCGTCACAGGAAGAGGTGGCAGCAAATGTTTCCAAGGGATCAAAATCGACACTTAATATGGGGCCAGAGTGACCCTTAAACGTGATCTCTCGCAGCGATGCATCGTCGTTCGCTAGGTCAACCAATTTGACAACAAAATCACTGTATTATGCGGATAAATCTCAAAGAGACTTCTAACCTTCCACCGGCCAAAAGGCGACTTTTGTCTTTATTTAGGGCCAAACAATTTACACCTGCCGTGAATCGGGTAACGACGCCTTCAACCAGACCAGCATCAATGTTTTGTAGGTAAACCTGAAAACCTTCAGTGCCCACAATCATATTTTCACCCTAAAACAGAATATACAATACAAATGTCATACTTTGCACAAAAGACAATTCACTGCTTCGCCAACAACATGCTCTACAGGATTTGGATCGTCTTTGCCGGTGTACACACGAAGTTTCCCGTCTTCATTTCCAGTTATAATTCGGCTACACCAACTCATAAGGATGGGATAAAATACTTGTTAATAAAGTCATAGGCAACGACTGTCCTGCCAGGACTGTGACGAGAACCGAAGACATTAAAACCACCCAACATGAACACTCAAAAGCGAGTCCAGTTCAGAATGCGATAGAAGGTCACTCGGAGATCAGCGACAAATGAAAACAATTTCAGAGTTATTGCTAAAACTCAGAAGGAAGACAAAATTGCAGCCTTTTTCAGTGAAAGCACATTAATGCTGTTGGAACAGTTTTAGTTAGTGCTGTAGGACTAAATGGCTACATACAACAATATGGTAGTGTTCAAGTGAATCTAAGTACTTACATATTGCCTGCCCACAAACATTTAGTTAAATTAGCATTTATGATTTCTTTAATGATATTTTTCGAGTGTTGATACCCGGAGATCACTCTTCTTTGTTAGAGATTTTGATTTCACGGAACTCAGCTTACGTCTTGGGTCAGGCTATTTTCATTGGTTGACTGAACCTGGCGATCTGCAGATGGCATGCGTTTGGTGCTCGTGTGCGTTGGTTTTTCGGTCGTCTGATTTCTTTTCAAGTGATAAATCTGTACTTGAAGGACATCATATGCTAGTCGATGTACTTATACTGGCGATAGAAGATAATATTAGGTAGTATCCTCTTCTTTGCAGATGCAAATGCAGTCTTTGTCACTTTTTCGGCAGCCTTTTGTTCTGGCCTTTCGTTTCGCATGCTCCAAGGCGGGTCCGATTCAGATCGCCATTAAAGAAAAACTTACAGCGCTTTTTAAGGTTTCAAATTTAATCCTTTTTATAGTAACATTTCAGCCCACTTATCTCGATATTACAAACGAGAGTCATCATCATGCGACCAACCTTGGTCACGAGTCACATTTTCGCATTTCCATTGTCTCAAAAGACTTCGAAAACATAAATGACGTAATGGTAGGCTAGTTCTTTTGTACATTGCTTGGTAGAGGCATAGGTTGATCAAAAAGGCTCTTCAGCACGAATTTGATGCGGGTTTACATGCAATTTCCATAATGGTTAGTTCAGTTTGATTCGATAGTTAGTTCATCTTCAATCAGGCAAAATCGCCCTCCGAAGAAATGAAGGAGCACAAACCTGTCCCATGCATTGGGAAATCAAAGGATATTAACCTTAATGAATGACTCTTTGTAAGTGTTTTCCCCACTTACGTTTGATTGTCGGACGATTATTCGTTTTATGACCATGTATTCTTCCTGCGCCTGTGTTTTACCAGTCTTAAGGAAATATGTTTACTGCTTTTCCCCATAACCGTGAATGAAAAATTACCATCGTATCGGATTAAGATGCGCATACCCATATCCATGCTTTGCGTAGCGGAATGCCACCGATGTAAATTTAATAATATACTTTGCCACAGCAAGTTCTGCTTTTTCTTGTACAATGATTTTTAGCAATTAATCGGGCGTCATGTGCACTGCTTCTACCATCTCGATACGAGCTCCTCGAATTTATTATTTTAGTGTTAAAATGGAAAGCTTATCCGAATGCTAGATGTGCTCACCGAACGGTTGCAATGGAACTTTCTGTTCCGAGTTCACTGCCATTCAAATCGTGACCTTTAACTGGCACGAGCAACGTGTATTCCACGATTGCGTCTCTTGAACTGATCTGGGTTTCAAGCTTGCTCCCGACAGAGGTGTAAAGTGCAAAAGGCCCTTCGCTTTCGACCAGTTACTCTCAAAGTGTATTGGTCACTTTACCCAAATGATCGTTTGTGATGTGTTTAATTTGAAGCCGTTTTGCTTCGATGAAATCTGAATCAGAACCTCCGTGGGAAGTCATCCCACTTTTGTCGTTTATAATTCCCAAGGGAATCATTTCACCAGCTACGATGGGTCACATACCTAACCCAACCGTGAGAATCCAAAATCTACTTCTCATGCCCAACTTTTCACCGTCTATAATGTTAAAATTTAAATCAAGATCTTTCCGGTTGCACGTGCCATTGCATCTCCTTTTTTAGTTCGGCAAAGTAGTTGAATTGCATTGTACTAGGTAGACAGATCCCACTCCCAATCCTTTCCAAGTGGCAACCACCCGTCCTTGCGGCGACGCCTAGTAAAAACCACACAATTCCTTCTATTTTCCCTGGATTGGACCTTGGCTTGCCCCGAAGGCCAGTCCACGCGTACATGGCCAAGAAGAAAAACCTGGTAACTGCCAAACATCAAATGGTCAGATAAAGTATTATAAACAGGCGAATCAGTGTATTTCTTCATATGTCCCTTAACTCAGCCTCTAGGCTTTGTGACAAAATTTTGCTACAAACTGAAGGGCTAAAACTCAATAGGTAATTAGTTGTACAACTCACAATAGCCATCTCATCAGCTGAATCATAAGCAATATAATCAAGCAGGTATTCTACTCTGTACGTTGCAATACGTGCATCGTCTGCCTTCTCAAGTGGGTGGGTTTATCGATTAGTGAATTAGCCTCACACAATCAAGCTGGTCGATTTACCGATTTTTCGATTAATTCTAGGGTAGATCTGCATTTCGTGCCCCTTTCAAGTCTTACATCAATTCATGCCTCATTAACGTGATATGATTCGACCTTAATTTGCTTTCATTTACTTTCTTTTGCATGAATTTGTGATTTGCACCTTTCTTGATGCCTTCGTTCACACAATCACCCATTACCGCCTGGTAGCCATAATGCGCAGATTCGCCTTCACTCACACAATCTTGTGACAGTCAAGGTCATATTAATTTCCGTCAACTGCGTCGATCATGCTGAATGCCCAAAAGTACGCTTTCGTTGGGCACTGTATAAAAACGTCATTCAGGGTGGTGGGCAACACCGCTGCCTTCGTGAAAATAATGCCACATCGAAAGAAGGCAGAATGGCAGCATGTACCTTTGACGCATTGCTGCTGCCATTGTTGCGGCTCACCGAGCTTCACCTGTGGAATGAGGGGAAGTCGTCAAAGCCGGATTGACTCCTCCTCAAGGCGAGATGGCACACTTCATCATACGTCGCCGTCGCAAGTCACACTTTATAGAACACATTCAGTCAGACGAATCGCACCTTTGGAGTCGGCGTGTAACCCACCGCCACCACCTGACAATCCCATAACTATGTGCTGTCAAACGAACAATCCTGGTGAAACGGGTATCTACTTGTCGTCGCCATTTATTCTCAAGGTAGATTGCCCTAATTCTGCGGGATTAATTTGTATTTTAGCAAAAGAAACATGGATTTTAGCAGTTCCGAATGACTGAACCATTCGATCACCACTTTAGCAAATTAGATAACTTAAATATCTTCAAAGAAGTGACTATATTCCCAGCTTTCAATTACACGTGATTTTACTCAGCCGTGTTCTACAAAGGCTGGCGGCATTCAGCTTACAAGCAATGTTTTTTTTTCCCTCAAAAAAATTCCAGTTCCAAATCGCTTCAATTTTATAGCTCCAAAGATTTCACTGCAATGTGCGCTGAGACTTTAGAACGCCTCCCTCGTCACCGTCATGTTGGGAGGATTCGGTACCTCTGAGAGAGCAATTGGATAGTGACTAATAGGGTGTTTTTTGATGATATTAGCCTAAAATTTCAACTCCTCGGCCAATTACAGGAAGCAAAGCAAAGAGAAAAAAATATGTGCCATCATTCGACACCTGATTTCAATGGACTGCATCGGGCATACAGCAAATTGAATTATTTTGTTAGTTTTGCATAGAAGGATTGAGGCCGATTGAATTATCGCGTTTCAAGCACATAATTACTTCATTGAGTGCTCATCGGACCATCATCTGTCAATGGCTTGCTCTTAGTAAATTACCGTGCTTGTCTTAAGACTACTCTTCATGGAGTACTTCCAATTTAACGCTAGATTAAAAAAAAAAACTTTTTGCTGTGTGCAGTTATTGGCTCTTCTATCAAACTCTTTAGATTTCATTAAGATCGGTGACCACTTTTTGACAATTATCGTCCCTGTGGAATTTGCTTTAGGACGCTCCTCATCGCTATCGTTCTCCGTTGAAGTCTTGCTGCAGTCCATCGAACCGCAACGTTCGTTTCTTTAGTTCGGGACGCCAACAGCAACAACGAACCCGCGCCGCATCCTCCTGTTCCTCAGAACGCGGTGTGATTTACCCCTCTAAGGGTTCCCGCAGCAGTAGCCTCGTACGAGTCTACTCTCGATCTAATTCACCTATCTGTGAGACCATTCTTACCTCCAGCCTACCCTCAAGATCTGCCGGTACAGCTGCAGTTGCTTGTGAGTGCAACCTACCACCGGCCTGCTTACCCAAACCACGTATCAGCTACCTGCAGTCTCTGAGACCTTTGACTTGTTTCCAGGCTTCCAATAATTGTGCATGTAGCGGTTGTTGCTGCTGTGGTGTTCAATTCCCACCGCCGCCTCCACCACCACCAACACCACTAGCACCAAAAATGGTGCATTGTGCCTCCTGCTGTAATATCACAGGAGTCGTTGACCGATGTATAAATACAGATCCGGAATGTCAAGTTGTTGAGCATTGCCAGGTGAGTATTTACCGCAGGTCCTATTGCTAACTTCAATTTGGTTACTGCTCAGCTGCCTGCAGTCCTGCCCTCTACTTTAAGACAAAGCGCCAAAATAAAGGCAAAAGTGGGACTGTAAATGCTAGTAAAGGTGCAACTGAGGTGTTCAGAAAGTTTTTTTAACTGTGTAGATCTCCCTGTGCGCACCATCGCCTCCTTCAAGTTCCAAAACAGTTGACTGTGGAAGTCAGACTTGTGTTCCATCGTCGCAATCAACAAAATTCGAGCAATACGAGGCTACTTCATGTCGTGTGGAACGCATTACAACGCGAAAACGAACTGTTCCGCGGAGTTTTTCTTGTGTCCGGACGCCTGATACCAGCTACTACCTTAGGTTGATGGGGAGGAAAGAAGATGACTTATGGAATCGCATCTCGGAGTGTGAGATGGACTTAGCGGCTTTCGAATGCATGATGTGTAGCGATGGTAAGTTGAAAGGATCGGAGAAGTCAAAAGGCACACAAGTATGGGGTATTGAAGTAAAATTTTTGAAGAGGAAACGATTAGTGGGGTTAGGACAGTGAGGTGAGGAATATTTACACACGCGCATTTTACCCCTCTTTCCAAAACACACCTTTTACGTCTTGTTTAAATGGCTATTCGACGACTCAAAGTGAATTCAGGAGATTTTGATCAAACCATTAGTAATAATCAGGCAACTACATACGAATAATACTATTAATAGAATCTGATAATGTTCTGCCAACTTAACTAATATAAGCTTATTTGGAGGATGCTGGGCTACATTACTTATTCCCTTATAGGATAGATTGCAAAGGTACATCCTTAACAGTCCATCACTCTTGTTTCTTTCAGTAGTGGCGTACATCAAGGACGCCATCTACAAAAGTCGTCAGTTGATCGAGTGTGAGTTTCAAAGGCTTCGACGTCTCTGCGACCCGGGGGCCTTTAGTTGCTGTCCGGATGACTATGTCAACTTAAATGACGGTAAAAGCATTCAGGAGTTGTGGAATGAGGCGCAAATCAAGCTGAGTGAGGTGTCGTGCATGATGGATAGAATAGATAGGCTGCGATCTTGTGGTTGGAAGTGGTAAAAGGACGATATTAACACTAAAGCTTTTTGGAGAACCCTATATTTGCACCATGTCAAATTTGGAAAAGGCAATAAAGATTTTAATCTACTTAACGTTTCTTGTGTGGGCTATGCTACACTTCGAAGTTTCTGGGCCTTAATTTAATAAAAATAGTCGAAGGGCTAAATTAATTTGTTTGCTGTTTTTTTCTGTTTAAAAACGTCAGTGTTTTTACAAATATGTTAGTGCAAGGCTGATGAACGCTCAATTTGACAATTAGTTACAAACGGAATATCAATAATTATGGTATTAGTGTCACTAACTTTTTATTATTGATGTAAACATAAAAATATAAAATTTCTAAAAATCGGGATCTTGTTTTAAACCATGCCTATAATTGCGTATCCAAAAAGGATTGTGCTAACGTGGTTCAAAGGCCTGTTGTTTATATCATTTAAACGTAGCGTTCAATTTTCGGATTTCCGGAATCCATAGTTGTCGATGAGGGCTGATCGCAAAATTTACATAGGGAATCTCCCTCCAGACGTCAGAACCAAAGATTTGGACTCAATTTTCTCAAAGTATGGGCGTATAGCAGACATCGACCTGAAGCGTCGTCGTGGTCCCCCTTTTGCCTTTATCGAATATGAAGATGAGCGGTAATGGTTGTTCGTCGACGTTATTTCTGCTAATAGGGACGCAGAAGATGCTGTCCGTGATTGCGATGGCTATAAACTCGACGGTTACGCTCTTCGAGTTGAATTCCCTCGTGGAGGGAGTTATAGTTCGTTCCGTCGAGGGAGCGGTCGCGGTAGCGGACCATCTCGTCGTTCGGATTACCGTGTTATTGTTACCAATCTTCCACCATCCGGTAGTTGGCAAGATCTTAAAGATCACATGCGCGAAGCTGGAGATGTGGGGTTTGCGGATGTATTTAAAGACGGTTCTGGTGTTGTTGAATTTCTTCGATATGAGGATATGAAATACGCCTTAAAGAAGCTGGATGATTCGAAATTTAGATCCCATGAGGTAATTTTAACTTAATTAATTTCTAATTTTCACAGGGTGAGACGGCGTACATTCGCGTACGTGAGGAACGTCAGTATTCTCGGTCGAGGTCACGATCTCGATCGTATTCATCGCCGAGGGATAGAGGTCGATATTCGAACAGTCGTTCGGCTTCCCGTTCTTCTAGTGAACGGCGCTAAAGAGATACTGTCTGAATTTCACGCTTTCTCACTTCTTTCGAGGTGTGCTTGCGTTTTATCTAATACCAACTTTTAACGTAATGAAATCCCCAAGCTCCAGTTCTAATACATATCCCTCTCTTTTGAAGGTTCATGTTGGACATGGACACTGCTAGTGCCGGTTTTGGTTCGTTCGGACACACTAGGGAGGCTGCCATGGAGGATTTTAGTCCACATTAGGGAGGCACTGGATCCACCGGAAAGGAATGGATTCACTAGGACTAGGATTTCAGTGGATGAGGATGGTGCAATCGGTCTTCAATACCGGTTTCAACATCATCTGATTTGTGGATGGATGGAACGCGTGAATTCGCAAATTTCTGGCAAAAGAGACTGGATGTGGACGGAAGGAGGGAGTGCGATGGAATGATCATGGAAATGGAATGGAGGAATGGCCCCGCCTTCTGCAGCTCTTGCTGCACATGGAGCCCTGAGGTCAAAAGGTTGTGGCTTAAGCTACTATCGTTCCTGATAGTGTTAGTGAGATTGAATTCTAGTTATTGGTAATGGAAATTATGATTTTCTGCTATAGCGTTATCGTTTTTTGAAGTCAGAAGTGCGGATGTTGGATGCTTGTCGGTCGGCATCATTTTCGCTTACTTTCTGTATGCATGCCTTGACGAGACATTGCCTCGCGGGTGGAGGATCTCTTTTCGGTTTATGGCTCGGATGTTTTCATCATTACATTTTGTTACTAAAAGGGTGTCTTTGCACTTCTCGGTTTTGCCTTCATGCAGTTTTTTTTACTGGATACGTAAGTGGGGTGTTTGGTCTTTTGCTATTTCGGACATGCGTTTGAATGTATCTCTTGGTGTGTGGTTTTATCGATATCGTGAGGCGATTGTTCAGAGAATCAGTGGATCTACCACTTTTTATTCATTTACGTAAAAACCATTTTGGGCCCTCTAACAGTTAAAAATTGAAGATTTCTGCCCTTCCTTCTGGTGGTCGTTCAAAGAATTTCTCGGTCGTAGCTTGTGTTTAGGGGTTGCGCATTGGGGAAGAAGGTGCTCAGTGGGGGGATGGGGGCTATCACTGAGTTCCTTATGCGTTATCGTACCACAGCATCAGATGTTTCAGCTGTCGGTGGGCAACTTTCGTTGACGCTTACTAAAGGCCTTGGGGTGCACATCCCCGGTGTGATGGGTGATCCTTTTCGTCGCTTATGTTCTCCCATCGTGGACATAATCACCGATTGTTCAGTTGATCACCTGATTTGAGTGATATTCTCGTCTTATGGTTCGAGGGTTTCGCTGGCCGCGCATCTGTTCTACCGTGTAATTCCCCTCAGCTAAGGCACTGCATTCGTTTTCCAAATTGGCTTAGCGTTGTGACGTTCTGGTCGCCGGGCCGGGTCACATACTTAACCATCGAGTCATTATGGAGTTCGCTTTATCAAAGTGTCAGTTGGGTTCACGATGGTGTGAAGAGAGCATACGGCAGACTCCTATTTTCACGCACGGCCCGTAGATCTCTGCATTTTGCGTCTCGAATACAGATCACGAAAACCCCCGTTTGCCGAGGCGCGAAAAAGGCCCATTGTTATCTCTTACTCTTAAAGGAGTGGTTCATCGGCTGTGTTAATACCAGCCAGAAATAGCAAAGGTTTCTCAAGGGGAAATCATTGGGGAGGTGGTTGTAATTGTGAAGATCGGCTTCGTCTAAACCTCCTCAAGTTTTTGTAGACAATGACACCAACAGGCAGATCGAACAACCCAAGAGCATACCACGTATTTGCTACAGTCATAAAAATTCCTTCGAATCACAAGTGTAGCGATCAGCGCATATGCTACCTATACTTTACTTTAAGGAAATGAAAATACTCCTGCAAGGTAGGGCAGCGTCGCCAAACTCAGAAGGATAGTCCCGTGCATAACTACCCATTGTCCCCCCAATGAATGAGAACATCCGGCACCATAGCTTATGACAGTTCCAAGTCGGCCCAATAACACAACCCAGAGCGTAGAGCAATCGACAAAAGAACACAATTAAGCTCGAATGCAATACCATCCATACTTCTGAGACAAAACGTGAAAGCTATGGAGACACGCAGTAACGTCAAACCAATAAAAACTATGCATGAAAAATGAACGACAGTGCATCAAGACTTTTCTAAAAATTTATTGGACAGAGATATCCATCATCTGAGTCAGGCCTAATAAAATCCGCAGAACGGTCTACATACACATTAGGAACAGCTAATGGTACTTAGCATGTCGTTCAGTTTGATGGCTCTTGTAGTTGATTAGGTATTGACAAGTGGCGAAGACAATACCAAAGTGAAAGAATGGTACAAGGGTACCCTTGCGGGGGTAGATCCAATTAAGGCGGTAACGCCACGAGAAACGAGCAAGTGCTTTAAGGTAGTGAACCGGGTTACGACTTCGGGTTTTGAGGTAGGTCCAAAGTTCACCCATCTTCACATCACCGAGTTTGGTCTCTTTAGGCCCATAATAATAACCAGGAAAGTAGGCCCCATGTACCCGAACGTTGTATCCCTTCGGAAGCAAACCAAACTCCGGCATTGGACAGGGGCGAAACGAAGAGAACCGAAACTGACAGGCAGATCACATAGGACACTATCAATATTAGCTTAGGTACCAGGTGAAGAATAAATAATAACGCATCGATGTGTACTTTGCTTTTGCCCTTTTATTAAAGCGAGCAAGTATATAATGAATAAAATATAGGCTATTTGTTTTCAAAACATATTGTTAATAAAAAGACATTCGATGTTTATTTCAAGAAACAGTGGCCATGATACACCTACTTCTTATTTATGTTTATTTATTTTTGTTTTTGTATGAAGCAAAATCAAACCTCTTTAAAAGGTGCATTATCGTCACTTACTTGACCGCCACTAGCGCCATCAGCCAAGCAAACGATCTGTTGCTAAATTCTGCAAACTGCTATAGATGACAACCATTGATTTGTTGCACTTTTCTTTAATCATCAAATTTCAAATGTCTATATAGCCACCATCTATCCTAAGAGTGATGCGAAAATCATCGTTAACACGAGCGTTTCCCTGACAGGAAATTGAATACAATGGTCGAGGTATATTCTTTGTCACATTATTTGGTGATCTTTAAGGTCGACCATTGATAACACTCAATAACGAAATCTTTCCCTCCTTCTTTTATAAAATCTTGGGTTTAGGACTTTTAGGCTTTAGCAATCTATTTAGCTTGACTGGGTTTGTCCCACAATATGCCATTAATTGGCTTTTTGTCGCAATGCAGAGCCATTCAATGTGCTTATCTATCAACTGGTACCAACTTAGGGCTGTGGATTGGTACATGAATCCATTGAGTCGACAAATATCTGAGGAGCATTTGTGGTCCCTAGCTCTCGAGTGTCTGCGATGTGGTTTGTCATGTCATGTCAGTGACAGTAATATGCTTAACCTTCTCAGCGACTCTCGCAAACCTAACTTAATTTTGCTGGACCTTCACCATAGGTTGGACTGTCGTAACTCGTGCGCATCTGAAGGCATAATTAATGTTTAAAAGCCGAGCAGTTCCAACTTGTGCCAGCATTTAACGACGATTCATTTGGCTAATAACACAGATACGACGACAATTTCCTTCTATCTTAGATCAACAATAAGTGATATCATTTTTTAAGAAAAATGCAGGAATGTTTGCAA